GAGCGAGCGAAGGAGAGAAAAAAAAAATATATATATATATATAAAATAGGAAAGTTGGAGGAATAGGAAGTCAAAGAGTTAGCAATATGAAAAAAGCAGCGTATCAGGAGGAGAGGCAGCTAGAGAGCTGAGAAAACAACAGATCAGATAGATAATTATGCAGAAAGCCGAAGTCGATTAGTTAAATAGAAATTTAGTTAGCAAAACGAAAACACGTACACACGCAGAAAGAGAAGAATGAGGATCGTTACCTTTCACAAACTCGATGAGATCTTCTGCAGAAACTGCATCCGTTTTACGGACGACGAAAGCTCGGATTAGTTCGTATCCTTCGTTTTCTGGATCTGGGACGCCGGTAACGGAGACGTCTCCTACTCCCAGATGACTCATGAGGATGTCTTCCATTTCTGAAGGCGACACCTGCACACATAGCGCGTTAAATATTTATATAGTATAGTATACTAAATTATAGGTTGTAATTGTATGTATATTTGTAATATAATTGTATGTTAGGCGTATCAATGGCTACGCTTACGTTCACATGTCGTAAACAAGCGGCTGAAGTAGTTGTTTGCGAGTACTGCGAGTACTGCCACTGCCACTGCCACTGCCACTGCAACTCAGCAGCTCCTTAGTAATGGGATCCACAACCTACACAAACGCCACGACTATTTTTTCCATAAAAAAGTGATGTGTAATCCATGTTGCTTATTAATAGTTTGCAACCAATCAGCTGCCAGTATTTGTGTAAAATGCTATATAAAATGATATCATGATCGTACCTGTAAATATACACAGTTTTGGCGTGACTCACACGCCTTGACCTAATAGCTACGCGATAAGGCAAGACTGTGAACAAAAATCTCCATGGAAATTTTTTAAGTATAGTCAGCTATGATTACTGGTTTATTTGAGTGCTATAACTATTCACGACATTATGCTTATATCACGCAAGACTGAAGACGTTACTGCTATATACCTTGGCTTGTGAATTTGCGTCTGGTTTTCCTATAATACTTCCTCGGTTGTTGCTAGCTTGCTTGGCTTTCGATGGGGTGTTTATGGCAAACAACCCGATTTCAGACATTCCAAAAATACCTAAAGAGGCCATGCTAAACGTTCATAGAACGCTAAACACTACGTCTTCTGAACACAATAATTTCAATAATTTTGATATAATAAAATCAGGAGTGAATAATAGAGAATAATCTCTATTATTCACTCCTGATAAAATCCTATCAAAGTTGGTTAAATTTTCAAAACATCTTGTTATTTTTTGAAGCTACTATTTGCTCATCAAAGACTTACCATTAATAATTAGGTGCGGATGCGTAATTTTAGCTTCTCTGATAACTGCAGGACTGCAGATACTGGCGCAGCGGGTGGGTCGACACGCCGTTGTATAAGGTGGGCAGCTCGGTAACCTTTACTTTACTAGTACTGACGGATACAGTGGAGGGATGCAGAGATATATAGGGTGCCCCTAGAATTGGTAAACAATAGTGAAATAATTAATGGTGAAATATTGAACAGGTTGTGATATCACACATCGACACGACAGCACACAGCCACAGAACACACGACACCAACAGAACCACACACAGCACAGCGGACCCACACAACCAACACCACACACACACCACACACGCACAACGGAAGGGCACACTAGAAAGATTCACACACACACGAGCGCGCACACAAAAACAACACCACACACAGCGGGAGCGGGCTGCGCCGCGGCGCGGCCCACAGCCGCTTGAGTCGCGAGAGACACACACAGACACTCGCCATGCATCCACAAACACACATACCCATCACACACACACAGCGGGGCAGCACACACAAACACACACACAAGCACACAACAGCCACAGGCGCACCCGTCACGCAACCCAAAACGCCCCCAAGCAAGCAAGCAAACCAACAAACACAAACAAACACACTACACATAAATGTATGTACCGGTGTATGTACGTGCGTACACACGCGCGCACGCACACACACACGCGCACACATGTTTACGTGTGTACACACATATAATATTGTGATTTTGGCTAAATTGTGTGATTTCATAAATTTAGCGCAATAAAAATGTTTGGTAAATTGATGCATGACGCCTTGTACGTAGTTAATAGCGGCCTATACTGTAGTGCTCGGGTTCACTAAGGTAAGGCAAGGCCAGGAGCGTAGCACCGAGGGCCAGAGCACTCATTGTCATGTAGGTGCCGCTCGAATACGCTAGGGGAGTCGATAGTAAATACACGTCTCCTTTTCTCATGCCAATTCTAGAAAGAAGCAGCAATGTTGCTCATAGTTAGTTACGGGCACATATTTAATTATTTGGCTTGTCTCGATGTATGTCATAAGCCTAGCTGTAGATTAGGAATGTTCAATGAAAATATGTTTGCGATTTTTAAAACTTGTTCTAGCTGCAATACATGCGCCAGAAGAGGTAACAGCCTACTAGCTAAACCCTGCCTACTAGCCAAACCTGCCAACAACTAGCCAACCCTAGCCAACAACTAGCCAACCCTAGCCAACTACTAGCCAACCCTGCCTACTAACCCAGCCTAAGAGCTAAGGCGCTAGTTACGCGATTCCAATACACGAATAAACCCCGCACTAATTTTTAAGATATATATCGCTCGTAACACATGATTCTAAAAGGATTCATTAGAAAGTAACACCATTTTGATAGTGTAAAGTGATATAAAGTAATTACATTGTAAAGTTGCTGTCCTACTTGGTCCGTAATCCTGGTGTTATTATATTCGTGTCGGCGTGCCATGAATTACATGTGTCGCCGATAAATTGAGATTGTTTAATACAATCTGAAGCGTCGGCGGTGCATTGCATTTTCTCGGAGTGGGTACGGACCTTTACACTTGCACGGTGTACACGTGGGTAACAATAAATACCTCGGCACGCGCATATGAGCAACGAGTTGTTTGTGAGTCCAAGGTATGCCTTTTGGTAGACCAGTTGTTCCGCTGGAATATAGCACGACAGCTAGGTCATCGGATTCAACACGGTTGGTTTTAGGAAATGCGTCGCCGCTGTCTTCCAGTAAATCAGTAAAAGGCATACAATCCTTGTCTATTGCGCTCCCAAATATAATCGGGACCTAAAAAGCATGTACAATACAATATGAATTATAACACGAACGACTATATAAAGTGTTCAGCCTACTTTTTTACGACTACGTATATATTGCATGAGACTGCATGACTGCAAAGGAAATTCGATAAAGGCTATCCACATAGCGACTTCAACTTGGCAGTTTCTGCGGCGTAGGATAACATTATAACAGAATTTGTCTAGTATACCATGCAGTTAGATAACAACAAAACTTACTGGCATGAAATGGTAACTTACCACGCCCATTGTGCAACATTCGATCCCTTCCTTCGCCGTTGTGAGCATATCGCTGGCTATTGCACAGAACTTCACGGTGCCACAGGACTTTGCAATTCCTAACTTATAAACTGTGTCGCCTGAAAACATCCACAACCATATGAACGTCAATGTAGCACCTACGTACGCCTGATATACCTACACCTAGATTAACGGTACGTCATGAAGGTACGATACGAATAAAATAAGATGAGACCGAGAAATAGAATAACGCAACGACTGAAATATAACAAAGGGGTTATTGAACACAGAAAAACATGCACTGGATAAATACATTGGCCCTGACAAAACAAGTACCAGTTAATGAACAGTTCAGGACGTTATATATCACCCAGCTTGTTCAGAGCGACCGCCCCCTTGTATTAATCATTTCAGTTCTATACATCAACCAACGGCCACGGATTCGTTTGGAGTTTCTACCCATCCATTGCCACAAGCGATTTTCGGTCTGGTTCTCACTAGACATACATTAGTCGTGTCTTGAATCTAGCAAAGTTTTTTTGAACAACATTTTAATAGTTAGGATCAAGTGCATAAAAAGATTTGTTTCATGTTTATTCATTCCTGATATTATTTGTATTTCCAGGTAATATTCGTATTTGATGTATTTACACCTCTACACATTTAACCACATTTATATCCCTGAGTGTTTTACACTCACTATCCGCTATGTACAGGATATATTTATATGAATATATCTTGTTCGTAGCCAGATACAGAACACGGGGACAGTATAACTCACCTATAGGAGATCCAGCCAACGCGTGGGTCATGACGCCCCTTAGCGAGTAAACTGCTAGCACGAGGATCACGTATTCAGGACAGTTGGAACTGTAGGCCAACACGACGTCACCTTTCCTGAGGCCGCGCCGGGCCAGACCGCTAGCTACTCTTCTTACAGACTCCCGCAGCTCTCTGTACGACAACCTCCACTCCTTGCCAGCATCAGTTGGTCCAACACTGCGCCCGATCTGGCCAAATTTAACCATAATTCAATAATCGATGGCATAACCATAGAACTTAGCTCAGTACATAGAAGGGCATAGTAATTTACTAGAAAATAGTCTTTACTCTTAGAAGATGAATATGGGGCGAGCAAAGAAAATACAAGGCGGGTGAAATAAAGTAAATGTTAGAATCACAAAGCAGACTGGGAGGAGAGAAATGAGTAAGGGTAACGGTCACCACCGGAGCCCGCGACGCGAGGTTGTGTAAACGAGTAATTAAGTAAACACAGCACACAACCAAGTGTACAATTTTTCCCCATTTGTCTCACAGGCCCTTGTAACAGAGTAAATATAAGCACAATTAAGTGCAAGGATTTTTCTAAACTTTAGTGGTACGCAGTAGTGTAAGGACACGAAGATCATTTGAAGGGCGATTAAGGTGTGGTAGTGATCGAGGGCTACTATCGAGAGTTGCTCTCTTGCAAGACCGCAATCTTTCGTGCAATCGTTAAATTAAACCCTTAGAAAGCTCGTCTTACGCGAAAATAATACAGTATGAACTTACGCTCGAAAATTAACCGTAAGTGGGCGCACCTAATCCAGGTAAACAAATAGAGTTCTTACTTACCAGAGCTAATGCATCCGGTGCCTGGATGAACCGAGAGTGTTGATCCAGATGAGAGTCGGATACCAGAGAAGCGTCGCCTGAGAGGTGTTGATCCTGCCCGCTAAGCGCGGATCTTGCGCGCAGTTCCGCGGCAAGGCGCACGCGACCGCGGGAACGTCCTACGAAAGTATCACGCGCTGGCAGCTATTGATCCGTGCGCCAAATCCAAAGGCCGGCGCACGGATCAATAGCTGCCAGCGAACAGTCTCGAATTTTAGCGGGTCTAATTCACTAGCAAACATATGCACACGCCATCGCGCAGGCCTAATAGCGATGTTTCACGTGACGTCATAGATCAGGTCACGTGTATTTGTTATGTGTTGTGGGTGGTACACGTGCGTGCTGCGTGCGTGCATGCGTGCGTGTGAACTTACACGTGCGTACGTGCGTGTGTATGTACACGTGCGTGCGTGCGTACGTGCACACGTACACGTGCGTGCATGCGTGCGTGAATGCGTGCGTGCGTGCGTGCGCGCGTACACGTGCGTGCATGAGGGTGTGCGTGCGTGTGCTCGTACATGTGCGTGCGTGCGTGCGTCCGTGTGTGTGCAATAGCCGGAAATACGTGATGGACGACCGGCCCCCGATCCGATATCTGCTCTGATCAAATTCAACTTGTACATCTCATATCGAAAACTATGCCAAAATAGCTACTGAACATTTAACTTCATTATAACATGCTTATTTCTACTTACATTATTGGGCTTACAAAAATCTCTGTGCATTGAGATGCGAATAATGCAAAAGATTGCAAAATATGAGCAAGCAATGATATAGCGCCCCCCATTTTCAGGCAAATCTTTACCTTTTATGTTGTTTTTTGTCTTTTTAAGCGTTTTTTTACGGTTTTCAACCGAATATAGTTTAGAACCCGTCCCGTGTATTCATCGATCTCTTCTGTGAATTTGGCGCTATTTGGATCAAAACTGACGGAGCCTTTCATTAACATACACACAACATTCGCCAAATTATAGTAAGATATGTAACGAACTTGCCTTTTCACCGACAAGACGTTATCCCGGGCCTGATGTTCGGCCCAGGTATAATTCCTTGACAGGAACGACCACTGGACTAACGGAATCCATAACATCATCAACTCATAAGACGGGCGGCGGCGGCGGCGTGCTCCGGGGCATTTATTACACACCGTTGACCATCAGGCCAGCGGCAGATAAAACACACCCCGTGATCATACGTTACTTTGTGCTGAAGGCCCGAATACAGTAGTGAGCAGTGCTTAGCTAATTGGATACACTCTACATGATCAGCTAGCAGGGCGGGCAAGCCACCAGCAGCCAGAGATCAGTGGGAGGGTGAAAGCTTCATTGCTAATGCTCACCACGCGGCGTGTTCCTCGTCTTGCGTTGTGTGTTCTGTAGTCAGGAAGAAGCCAGCAAGCGGCGTGATCCTCGTCCTGCGTCGTGTGTTCTGTAGTCAGGAAGGAGGCAGCAAGCGGCGTGATCCTCGTCCTGCGTGTGTGTTCTGTAGTCAGGGAGGAGGCAGCAAGCGGCGTGATCCTCGTCCTGCGTGGTGTGTTCTGTAGTCAGGGAGGAGGCAGCAAGCGGCGTGATCCTCGTCCTGCGCTGTGTATCCTGGAGTCAGGGAGGAGGCAGCAAGCGGCGTGATCCTCGTCCTGCGTAGACGTCTGACTGAGCTCCGCTACACCCTACATGCTCAGCTAGCAGGGCGGACAAGCCACCAGCATCAGGGGTGATTCGGATGATATCCTTTAGTCTATCTATGAAGTAGATGAAGCCATCGTCATCGTACTGCACGAGGTCTCCCGTGTGCAGCCAACCGTCGCTGTCAATGGTGCGTGCCGTCGCCTCAGGGTTGTTGATGTAGCCGCGCATTATATACGCACTACGAACGCACAGTTCTCCTACTACGCCAGAAGGCAGCAGCTCCTTAGTAATGGGATTCACAACCTACGTAAACGCGATGACCATATAATTAAAATGTTTTAAATGCATTACGTTTGATTCTATTGTCGTATTGTTTTGTCGCATGATATATAATCCGCATTACCTATAGGTAAACTAACGCAATCAATCAACACCCCGAGTATTTGTACAAAATACAACGATATCAGTATCATACCTGTAAATTGACACGGTTAAGGTGTGACTCACAGAATCTTGACCTCATGCCTACGCGATATGGCAAGACTATGAATTGGTTTGGTTGACTACTAGCTATTTCGCATATTATGTCCATAACACCAAGAGCTAATAATATATACCTCTTGATTATTAGCCCTTAATATCACGTACAACGGCAGGCGTCACTGCTGATTACCTTAGCTTGTGATTTTGCGACAGGTTTTCCTATAAGAACTCCTCGTTTGTTACCAGATTGTTCGGTTTCTGACGAAGGGTTTATAAGAACTCCGATTTCATTCATTCCATAGATACCTAAGGTAACGAAACGTATCTGTCATACAATGCTAAGCATTACGTCTTCTGAACACAACAATATCAATATTTTTATGCATAAATATTTTATTAAATTTTGCTAATTTTCGAAGCTACTATTTGTTCATCGAAGACTTACCAGTAATAACTAGGTGCGGATGCGTAATTCTAGCTTCTCTGATAACTGCGGGACTGCAGGTACTGCCAGCTGCGTCACAGCGTTGTAATGTTGGCAGCTCGTAACCTTTCTTTACTAGACTGACGATCAGTGGAGGGATGCAGAATAAATAGGTGACCTATATTAAAACATAGTGAAATCATTTTAGGGAAAATCGCGAACAAGCGGGAATATTATTGTTATACATTATAAACACGCACGCACTCACGCATGCACACACGCAATCACAAACGCACGTAGGCACGCACACATACATACATAGACACACGCGCACACACACACGCGCGCGCACACAAGCACACACAATCATGCGCATATACACGCATATACATGCACACATATTCGGCATATTACTAAATTGTAAATCGTACCGGTTGTCCATTATTGAAATAACAATATCGAATACACAAGAATTAGTGTGTGCAAGAACAAGAACAAGAACATTGTGCTTACTTTGTACTTATTAATGGCTATACTGTAGTGCTCAGGATCACTAAAGCAAGGCAATGCCAAAGACGTGACACCGAGGGACAAAGCACTCATTGGAACCTCGGGAACATTCGACAGAGGACTCAGTAGAAAAACGTCTCCTTCTCTCATAGTAAATCTAATAATGAACCGATAATGTTACCCACGGTTAGTTACGGGCACATATTTATAATTAGTTGGCTCGTTTCCTAGTTTGCCAGAACCGTAGCTGTAGATTAAGAATAGAAATAGAAATACATTTTGACGTCTCTTAAAAGCTGATGAGGTTGAGACGCATGCACGCGCGAGAATAAGTAATATAAGAAATTATAGTTGTAGCAACAGCCGGTATCCATCTTGTTCGTATGCTTGTTTATCTGAGAGCGTTATAGAGCTTCGATTAATAATGACAATGGTAAGGATTTGTCTCAGTGGCTCAACAGAGATGCATAAATTCAATCTGGTACATGTTGTTGTGAAATAAACATGGGGCGGTCTAGGTAATCGAAGACCATGCAAACATATCTTCATCTTGAGCTGCCCCTGCTGATTGGAACAAAAAGAACGGGGCAAACATACGCTCGCGCTTATATTCTCACCGAACGAATAAAAAGATAGTCCGACGTTCAACATATATTTACCATTTCACAGTCAAATTTTGATAACAATAATATAACCGAAAAATGTTAGATTAGACGCTAGTAGTATTACGTCGCAGTTATTGTCAAGATATATATCGTTTGTGATATACATCATATCAAAGTTGTACATCGTTAAATAATACCAGTCTATCACAAACAAAATATAAAGTGATAACATCGTAAAGTGATACCATTTTGATAAAGAAAAAAGGTCCTACTGAGACTATAATCTTGGTCGGTTTATTTTTGTGTTACGTGCCATAAATTGTGTGTGCCGCCGGTAAATATCGCAGAGATAATTTGATAAAATATGTTTGATCTGTGTACCATTAAATTTCTTTGGATGACACTGTAGACTTGAGTTACAATAAATACCTAGGCATAGCCATGTGGGAAACGAGTATTTTGTGAGCCCAAGGTATGCCTTTCGGCGGGCCAGTTGTTCCGCTGGAATACAGTACGACGGCTAGGTCACCGGATTCAACACAGTTGTCTTTAGGAAATGCGTCGCCGCTGTCTTCCAGCAAATCATTAAACGGTATACACTCTTTGTCTACAATGCTGCCAAATGAAATCCGTGCCTAAAATAGCAAATAATTAAAAAACGTCAGGTAAATGACGAACGGAGGGTTGGGAATTTTTTGGGGAGGAGGGAACAACAACAGATTTTTTGGAGAGAAATACTGTATGATGTTGTTACTGTTTTATGGCAAGTTTCTAGTTGTAAGTCCTATCTCAACTGAGAGATTTTTGCAACGTAGTGATAAATCAGGCCAGCATTCACAAAAGTGAACATGGTCCTACTCCACGATATATATATATATAT